CTGGGAGTCCCGCCCCGGCTCCGCGGGGCGCGGTGCCTGCCAAGGGCTGTGAGGGTTCAGGGAGGATGCTGGCGCTCTCTGGTCTGTTCTCTGAGGGCGCTAATCCCTTCGTGGGGGCTCCCCCCTCATGACTCATCCCCCTAAAGACCCCACATCATGTAAGTGGGGGGCGGGGCACAGACATTCCGTTTATACCAGTGGGCGAAGGCAGAGCGCTTATGTTCACCAGGCCTCCGTTTCCCCATCGGTAAGAAAAGGGACACCCGTACCGGTCTCAGGGTGACCGCCAGTATTGACTGGCCTGGACGTAGCCAGTGCCCACCAAACGGCTGAAAGCGAGGTGGGAGTTCAGTTCCCTGTCAGAGCAAAACACGCGCCAAAGTGCAGCGTGCAATAGGCTGCGGGAGCCGGGCGGGGCGAGCCCAGCGGAGCGGGCCGGGCGGGCGGAGGGCGTGTGCGGGCCGGTGCGCGGGCAGCGGAAGGGAGGCTTGCGGGGAGGTCTGCCTTAGAGACCTTATTCGCCTGTTTTCTCTGCCATCAGCCGGCTGTGCTTGCTGAGGGATGCTGGCTCCCACCGCCCACAGAAACGGTGCAGGAGAGCTAGTTTCCTGGAGGACTGCATTTCAAAGGGTTACTCCCAGGTCCTCGGGAAAGACATCTGTGGTTGTAAAATGGGAAACAGGGCTTAAAAGAAAAAGTGTATTCTTTTAATTGATTTTAGAGAGAGAGGAAGGGAAAGGGAGAGAGAGGAACATCAATCAGTTGCCTCTGAAACACATCCGACCAGGAACCAAATCTGAAACGTGGGTAAGTCCCCTGCCCAGGACCTTTTCGGTGCAGGAGACGATGGTCAACGAACTGAGCCACACTGACCAGGCCAGGGAAGAGGGCATTTAAAAAGAGTTACATATTACCAGGGTTTTGGCTGGTGAAGCGGGTTATGAAGGAATTCACACCTGAGGGAACAGAGAGATATAGCCAGAGGGAGTTTATTTTACGTTCCATGAAGGGTAAGGGCCAGGCATTGCTCATTGTGCCAGGACAGCAAAGGATTAAAGAAAAAACAGACAAAGAGAATAAGCTGGGTCTAGGTCAGCCATGGGCAAACTACGGCCCGCGGGCTGGATCCGGCCTGTTTGAAATGAATAAAACTAAAAAAAAAAAAAGACCGTACCCTTTTATGTCATGATGTTTACTTTGAATTTATATTAGTTCACACAAACACTCCATCCATGCTTTTGTTCCGGCCCACTGGTCACCATAGTAGCAATGTTCTTGTGAGTTTCACTTGTTTTGGCAGCACTTGCTGCATCTTCCTCAGCCCATTAGCTGCCCAGATACGAGGGAGTGTCATAAGGTCAAGCCTAATTATGCCAAGAGGACTGTGCCCTCTAAGCTGGGACTTGTTTGTGACTTTGCCAACAGGTCAGTCTGAGGCTTAACCCCATAGCCGCGCCCTACAGCTCATCACAAGGACAGGAAAGCCGAGGGCAGTCTCCCCTTTTACACCCTAGCTCTTGCTACACAATAAGGGAGGGAGTAGGATGTTTGGGTTGAAATTGAGCAGACATCAGGGGGCTGCAGTTTGTTCCTTCTCCAGGAGACAATCCAGGCAGATGTCCTTGTGCTAGAAAGAAGGTGGCAGGACACTGGGAGCCTGAGAGCAAGGCAACTCCTCCTGCAGGAGGTGCAGGGGGCGGGGCTGGGAGTAGCAGGGGGCGGTCCACACCTGACACATCATCTGTCTCTCACTCTTGATTGGTCAGAGCCTAGGCTCCTCCCAGTCTTGCGCGATTGGCTACTTTAAAGGAAAAAGGGAGGGGTTGACTTTTGCCATTTCAAAATGGTGGCCCCCAGGGGAGCTGCAGTCATGGAGCCAAAGTAGCAGCTGCGTACACCCCCTTCTTTGACAGAAAAGATTACTTGTTTATTCTCACAATTCCCCCCTTATTTATCCTTCAAACTCGGTTTGCATTTGTTGCCTTTCACGCTCTGCAGTGTCTAGGAGGAGACTGTTTTGCTGTCTGGTCAGTGCGGTTTCCATTACCCTTTGGACAAGACCCCTCATACAGGTGTTCACATAAAAACATTCCAAGCTGTAAAGAATGTTGGTGAGTTTATTTGAGCCAAATTGTCCACAGTTTCCGAGAAGCAGAATCTCAAGGGGTTGGGACAGTGCTCTGGAGGGTGGCGGCTTTTCACTTTGTTCTACAAACCAATCCGAGGAGGACACGAAGGTGGGTTATATGAAACCCACTGGTGATAGAGGAGGAGGTGGGAGAGAGCAAAGCGGAGAGACCCCTGGGATTGGATAAAAAGTAAAATGATAGACACATCCTTAGTGGGTACAGGATAGTCAACAGTCAACAATTAACACATTAACAATAACAGTGAAGGAATCTGTGGTCTCTGTCCTGGCTCCCAGAGCATGTGGTGTGTAAACGTTTATGTATGTTTGTCCCCCCACGTCCCGCATCTGGCATGGTTCAGGGTTCAGGATCTGGAAGAGGGGCTGCATGCAAATGAAAGAGAAGAGACAAGAGATAATTTGGAAATATTGGGGGGCCAGGCGGGCAAGTCCAACTGAAGGGGAAGGACTTCCACTGGTGCTCAGGCCTCACCAACCTTTTATTGGTTTGGGATACACCCATAGCCCTTAGGCAGGCAAATTTCCAGTAACAGGCAGACTAGCCCATCAGCAAGGATTTACATAATAATAAATGGGGAAGTTGCTTCAGCTACCATTGTCTGAACTAACAGTGGGTGCACAGCCCTGACCTTTGCCGGGACTTCAAGGGTCACCAGCTTTCTGGGTTCCTTGTCCACACCCCTCTGCTAGTGAAGACAATAAGTGGCTTCCCACATGTGGTTGTGCCCTGAGGGGCCTGGGGGAAGGAGGGTTACAAGTTCCTCTGACATTTCAATGATATGTTATCATAGATGCAAAAGGACCATAGGTCCAGTTAAGGTAAAGAGTGACCTTGTCAGGGAAGATTCCGGCCTAGGAGTGACTACCCACCATAACTGTTTTTAGTTCAAGTTTAATTGCAGGCCATCCTTGTGGTCACTTTAGGTCTGAGTTTGCAAGACTGCCATGCAGGCCTCCCCTGAGCTGTCAAGTTCGCATGCGGCCCCTTTTGTCCACACCAATGTAGGAACAAGAGAAAAAAGTTCTCCATCTTATGCATCAGGTGATTATTTATTCACCCCATCTGAAGAAACAATTAGAAATGACACAGAAGCATTTTACAGAATTCAAACATCATGCACACACTAGTACATATTGGAGAATATTGTAAGTCTCCCATTTCTCTCCTGAGAGACAAAGGCTGTGAAGAAACTGTATATCCTCCCATTTGTCTTCTCCATACATGCTCACATATATATTTACTAGAGGCCTGGTGCACAAAAATTTGTGCACTCGGAGGGAAGAGGGGTCCCTCAGCCCAGCCTGTGCCCTATAGCAGCCTGGGACCCCTCAGGAGATAACGACCTGCTGGCTTAGGCTGCTCCCGGGTGGCAGAGGGCAGGCCCAATCCCTAGGTGCAGCCCCTGGTCCGGCTCAGAGCAGGGCCGATTGGGGAGTTGGGACGCCGCCCCCTGTCATGCACAGAGCAATGTGGATCGGGAGGTTGTGAGGCCCCCCCTAG